TAAGTTATCAGCGTGTCACGTAAACTCTGATCTGGGGGTTTTGACATGCTTGTTCTCTAGAAAGTGTACCTTTGTCACAGCTGCTGAGCCTCCTCTGCCTGTTTTGGGTTATTTATTCCCATCACTTGCTCAGTCAAATACCAGTTTGAATAATTTAGATAACTGACAGAAATTAAATATATTCACATAAGCAAACTACAATGTATGCAGAGATCCGGATACATTTCCACAGAGTGGATGTCCAGCTAATACCTAAAGAAGTGAAGCAGTACCTCCTATTCATGTTGGAAATAATATTTGAAATTCAGTGGAGTGGAACTAGTATAAGGACCTTGAATTTTATTATGATATTGATGATGGTGTGTTTTGTATTCAGCTCATGGTATAATGATTATACGGAGTTTCAGGTACAATTTATAATATAATTTCATATTGCACAGACTTCCAGTCCAACAAATTGTGCATTGTTAAGGGTTTATTTAGTATAAAGAGTGAATGTAGTCTAGTCCATGTGATTGGCCTTCTGCGGATCGTCATAGGATTCAATTCCACTCTCGTCACTTTCTCTTATTATTGCTTGCAATTGTAAATGTGTTACAGAATATTACTGTTAATTTGTTTTTGAAAATAACTAAAAGTTTTTCGCCATTACCATAATTGTAGTTGTGTTGTGTTCAGGGCGTGTAGGATTGTTCATGAAATATTTTTATACCAAATTTAGCATGCTCAGTTATAGTGGTTAATTTTGCTGTTGCTTGTAAACTTAAAGATAAAACTTGTATGTGATTGTCATGTTTGTTTTACATTTTTTACAAAAAACATGAATGCAAAAATATTTTACATTTTGACAATCTTGTGATTGTGTAATACAAAGTGGTGCTAATGTTGCTCCCACTCTTTTGAAATGATCTGTTACATATAAAATGTTTGGCTGTTTGGTTTTCTCAATTTTAATTCACTCTCTCACATAATATAATGAGACTGTCACAGGTTCAGAAGCAAGTTCTTTTGATGGTTGTAGTTTCTCCATAAGCTTCAACATAAAATAAAATTGTCTCATGCATTTCTGTGGTGTGTGTTCACCAAAATTGCTACTACTTTTCTGTTTTATTTTATGCGGTAATCTGATCAGTTTATTATTGCAGTTTACAGTTTGCTATACTGCTGGTTTTGTCCATTGTTAGATATTTCTTGTTGTTCACAGGTTGTGGGATATTGAATGTGGGGCGTGTTTACGAGTACTTGAAGGACATGAAGAACTAGTGAGATGTATTCGCTTTGATAGTAAAAGGATAGTTAGTGGAGCATATGATGGGTATGTTTGTTATAACTTGCCAGTTAATAGATCATTCCTCTGAAAGTAAATGTCTTTGTGTCTCTTAAATGTTGATGAGAACTTTTTTATTCAGATAAAATCGCTTTGACACAACATTATTTTAAAGAATAAACTACAGTGAAACCTCTTATGAACTTTGTTATGCGGAAGTAATTATTAGAGTTATTAACATTCTTTATTATTTTATGGATATTGTAGTATGTTGCTTTAAGAGATCTATGGGGTTTAAGTTTGAAATATTTATTTGTACTTCACATTTTATATAAATCTTCTTATCTCTTGCAATTGGTGTCTGTTTATCACAGAGAAGTACAATAAGATCTATATATGAGAGAGGCATATTTAATTACAACAATAAAGGTACATAAATATTGCTATTAGAATTATGTTGATCAACAGATTGGCACAGTTTCATATTTTATACTGAATGCTGTGGAACATATTATTATGTCTTTGATAATAAGACCATACTTTCAGTACCTTCACTGTGGAATAACTGGGATGTGTATATATTTGTTAGGAGGACATAATTATATGACTTAAAAGATTTTTTTACTAAAATACATTTTGTTTCTTTTTTGTATTAATTGAAGTGTGTAACTTGCAGGAAAATAAAGGTGTGGGACCTAATAGCAGCATTAGATCCAAGAGCGCCAGCTAGTACGTTATGTTTGCGAACGTTGGTGGTAAGTTTTCTCATTTCAGGTAATGTTTGCAAGAAGGAGTTTATGGAAGAAAGAGTTTTGTTTTATGCAGAGATTTCCTGTGATAAGAGAAAAGTGAATGATTTCTGTCTGCTTTTTGCAACTGTTGTGTCAAGCAAGGCATGCAATCATGAAAAATGTGGTTCTGCTTGGCTTGTTTCACATTTGATAATGAAGGAGCAATCCTCTTTATCTTCAGACTTAGTTCTTTAGTATAAATCTTCATAATGTATTATTGTTTGCTTCTGATACTCGTTAGTTGGACTTGGTAGTAAGTACAGTGAAAACTTGACAGTCTTTTTTAGTCTTATTCACAAGAATTCTTCTGTTGTAGGGAAGAAAAGTTTTGTGGTTGTGTAAATATAGATAATGGTGTTTTGGGATGTTGAGATGTAGCATCTTGACCATGTGCCAACATTTTGGAGGAACATAATGGCTCTCGAACGTTGGCACACAACCGAAATGTTACAGTATTGCAATTCAGAAGGCCACCATGAAAAGAAGTCTGCACTTGAGCAACATAAGTACAGTATTTCTAAAAGTTGGTGTAACATTATTTTGTATAGCACATTAACACCTCTAGTCTGTGAAAGACAAGAGAACCAAATGTTGAACTTTCTTGTGTCAAAATTGTTTATGTATGATAAAATAAATTCTGTCTTTCTGAGGCTGATGTATTTTGTGGTTATTTTGCATTCATTATTGTAGAGAAGTTCGTTATATGTCAGTTTTATTGCAATTTCCATAAATTTTATGTCCCAGTTGTCAACATCAGTATTTAGCAAGTAACATTGCAGATTTTTAGCTCAAAATATACATATTTTGATGTACAAAGTTGCAGATGGTACAGTCCAAGTCACGCACCACACACTGTTTCCCTCATCAGTTTGAAAATTTATTAAATCTCTGTTAATTATTCAAAATTATTTGATTTTTATAAGTTAAGAAAGATTATAAACAGGCTTTAGCTGTTATTTCACTTTGTTTGAAGTGGGGGGTGGTATGTCTGTGTGCAAGAAACAAGATTAATATGTCTACAGTAATTGCTTATTGTGTATAAATTGTAGCAGTGACTTCATATTGAATTTTATCAGCTGATTTGTATCTCTGAGATGCAATTTAATGTGTCACTGTTTCCAGGAGCATACTGGACGAGTTTTCCGCCTTCAGTTTGATGAATTCCAGATTGTTAGCAGTTCGCATGATGATACAATTCTAATTTGGGACTTCTTGAACTGTACACCCCCAGAAGGCACACCACAACAGCAGCAGAACATGCAACAACTCAGCGCTCGCTCCCCAACACGCACGTACACTTACATCTCAAAGTAATTACGGACAGTGATGGCTCTTCCAGACCCCCCGCAACCAGGGTTATATTTTGTCTGTAGTATTTCATCGCTTGGGTACATATTTAATATGTTGGCATTCTCCAAATTAATAGTGACCAGCAGGTTTGTAACTGTCACATTAGGGAATTTGGAATGGACCATAGTGAAACATTAATTTTACATAAATGCTGTGCATAATTGAAAACTTAACTATATATTAACCTTGCAGGGCTTCTCCAGTTTAATTTTAGCGGGTTCCTGTAACAGCATTTCATTGTCAGTGTAAAATTTAATTCTATCCTAAGTGGCATAGACATTATATGATAATTATTCAGCGAGAACATATGAAACCTTCATGACTGCACAGGAAGAAGCTATGGGAATATCCTGTTGCAACAGGGCATGCCCTTCCTTGCTTATTTCTGCATGTAGGCACTAAACGTTTCATACCAATTTGTAAGTCTGAGAATTAGAATGCAACCATTATGCAGGGAATTGTGTAATTAACTACATCGGTGGTTATGTTGGTTGTCATGTATACAGGGTTCTGCTACAGCTGAAAGAGTGGCAAGAAATATATAATAGAGTTGCGTAAATCGAAATTTAGCTAAAATGTTATCATAATTCAGAGCGTAGACCTCACAAAAGATGCGTGTAATTTTATTTTTTCTGCAAGTTTGTGTGTATTTTAAATTTAATTATAACTATTTACCATGCATCATGGCTTTATGTATAATCCAGCTATACATGTCTTGCTGTTGCATACTGCTAAATCATTAAACAGTACAGTTAAAGTCTAGCTGGGAGCCCTATATTACAGACATCCAAATCTCCCAGTCCTATATGTAAAGTGCTAAAGCCTTCCACAAAATTTTTATAATCAGAGTTGTAGATGATACGTTTAATTGCCACTTCTCAAAAATTCTATTTTGTGATTATCATAAAAAAAGATTAAAAATTTGGGCATTGTTTTAAATTTCTTTTTGTTTAAGGTATTTTGATTGACATTGTGGTCCTTTCCTATTTTCATGAAATGATATGTTGTATAGTTCTGTATTTAGCCGAAGTTTCTGTTATATCTGTACCTGTATTTATAGGGACAATCCAACTTTGTCTACAGCAACACATCACATTAGCAGATAATAAATGGGACAGTAATAAAGCAGGAAGTTTCTTCTCTTGTGTAATATTTGACATATGAATGTCAAACACCAAAATTTTCAAATCTGGATTTTGCCTGAAATGTTTCATATTTCAAACTCAGCTTGTTACTGAATTTTATTGACCAAGCCTGAGAAAGTAAACTGTCACTGCATAACCCAGATCAGGTGTATTTGATTTTCTCTTTTATGACCGAGGTTTTGATAGAAGTGTTTATTTAAAAAAATTATTTTCCAGTTTCATGAACATTAAAGTAGTATTTTTAAAGTCTATCTTGTTTTCAAGATTGGGCATGTGGGCCAGAAACATCATTTAATGGGAATGATTTTTTTTAAAAAAGTCCCAACATTTTATTTAATTAAAATCCGTTAATGTGCACAAGACAGAGAGAAACTGTGGAAAATTTTATAATTAAGTGGCATGCATTAACTGCCTTATTTTTGGCTGATGCTATGGACACAAGTAAACATAATTTTCAATTTAATAATTATTTTATAAGCCTATGAAGAAGTAACTCAAGAATTTTCTTTCAATTAAAGTCTTGAGTATGTGTCTGATTTGAGGAGGTTCATTTCATTTTATAAAATGTCTGTACAGTTAACCTTCGATTTGCGCCGCTACAATTTGTACTGATTCAGAATAACGCTGCATTTGAAACCAGCAAGTCAAAAAGTGAAAAAATATATTTTACTATTATTTATAACGTTTTACAATGTTTCTCATACTGATTCTTATACTAAATCATAATTCTTACATCGCTGATTTTGAATAAAAATTATAAATACAGTCACCTCACTCATTGCTAAGTAGTTGCAAGATAATCTCCTAAAAATCCGCCATCATTGCGCAGCAGTCACGTGAGCATTGATCACTCTTCACGGTGAGTCATTTGCGTTCAGCCTGATAAGGGAGTAAGGAAAAATGCGCTCAGTTTGCTTGTTGACACATTGAATGTGCTGAAAACTGTGCTAAACGTGTTTTTGTTGTTTGACCACTATTCTGCAGTAGCAACTGTTTTATATTTATAAATTGTAGAAGAGCCACCATGTCTGGTAAGAGAAGTGAATGTGTTTCTAAAAAGTTGCGTAGGTCTATTGCGTTAGAAGATAAGATGGACGTAATACGTAGAATAGATACCCGTCGTAATGTGTGCTGAGGTATGAAGTTGCCTCCTTCCACTGTGACTACCATAATGAAAAATTCATATAAAATAAAACAGTCAGTGCAACAGGCTACGAGAGTAAGTGCAACAACGCAAGTGAGTTATAGCTGAAGTAAACTTTTAGAAAGAATGGAGAAATTACTGTTGCTATGGGTGGATGACATGAATCGAAAAAACATTCCCTTGACTGAAATTACTATCATGGATAAGGCAAAGTCAATTTTTGAGGAACTTAAGTCGTCAATGTTTGGGTGCCGGGAACATGTCATTGACTTCCCATTATAAAAGGAGTTTCAATTTACATCGGTTCATCCAGGAACGCATCCCTGGTGTAAATCGCGGGTTACCTGTACTTGTACATGTAATAAATGAGTGCACATTATTTTGCGAGGGACCTCTTGAGAACTTCTAAGAAACATTTTTGAAAACCCAGGAGATCCATAGGTTTCTGTTCAAAAACTCTGACTTTGAAATCAACACAGGAATAAGAAGACACTAAGGAAATTAGAGAAATTGGTTAATATGTAGTTTAGTGTGCAGTATATTGACCCTTATGAATTGCAGGTAGTTGTATGCAGTAACAGGTCTTTGCCCTTCTACAGGTATAGAGCTAACACTGCCTTTGATGTCTACATACAGAATTTGTGTTGACATCAGTTTTTAAAGAACCCTGGTTGTGGTACTTTTCAGTTTGTCATGTGTTTATTTGCTGGGTGTGAAGTGCATGACTTTTTGCATCACAGAACAATATAGCAGTTTGTTTCCTAGCTTTCTTTCTTTGTCTTAACACATTTGCTCCCATATCTGTGCATGGCTGACTGCCAGTCCTTTGTTCCGATAACCATTTTTGACCTTATCGAATAACAACATACCATGAGAGGTCAACAAAAGAAAAAGTCTCTTTTAGAATGAACTTTGAGCACATTAATTTGTCTTGTGTCACTCGGTAGTGCATTCAACTAGTTACCTTTTGCAATTCTTGAGTAATTGATCAGTTCCCATTAATTTCTGTACTGTTCAGTACAGCAGAGAGTATACTGCCTAAAATGGCTGGACTGAGAGGTAAGCCAGCAGTATAGTGTGTGGGGTAAATGTGTTAATAGTAAAACTTTATATGCTTCTGTAAACTTGACATGCTTAATGCTCTTATTTATCTGCATGTTAGTATTTGCACTTACTCATGAACATTATTCGAGGTCAAAGCTCTAAATTCTGGGGTAGCCTCGGTATTAAATTATTTGGGATGACTGATTTATCATAGATGTAATGAAAATCGATTTATGCCCATATGGTTAACTACGTTATGGTTCAGACTTTCATAAATTCAGTCAGTACTTGGATTAAGATACAGTCATTGGGCAGCATGGCAGAATTGCATCATGGACAATTTTTTTAGCCTTTTATCTGAAAGAATAATGTGGATGTCATTATTTCAGCACTTGCTATGAATGTGTTGACATGATAGAAAATTAACCTTAAAAGCAAACATGAAATATTTCAGACTACTGACTAACTTGTGATTATAAAAAAATTATTGAAGATGTAAATATTTTGTCTGTTGTATTGGTTTGCATCTATAATTCAAATATCATCCTTCTTTCATGCTTGTAAAATAATTTAATTGTAGAAAAACATATGAATGTAGAATTTCAGTTTTTAACTGTTCCTTCTTGTGTAGAATATTTGAGTTTTGGCTTTATATAAAAAGGTTCTGATACAGAAATGGCAGATGTATTTCTTGATGAAAAACTTTTGAAAGAAAGCAAAGCATTCAGCTTTTTTTATTGTTGGTTTTGTCTATTCTGTGAACATAATTGAATGCATTTCATGAGTAAGTACATCCACATGAGATTAATATGCATGGCTATCTGTTCAAATTTATGCTTTCCTTCTGTCATCCTCCACCTGTTTCTGAACATTCAAGTGTAGTGTGCATGTTGACGTAGTTTTCTTTTGTATTTCTGTTCCTGCATTGTGCTTTCTTTTTATTTTGACACCTTTCCTTCTATACATGATGGTGTGAAGACATTTAGGAGATAATTTACATTTAAAATTAATGTGTAAGATTAGGAAGTCCATCACTGAGAGCTGAGCTTATGATGATAATTTATGTGTTAGATGTTATGAACAGTAATAATTTTTTGTTGCACATTTTTTCTCAGTCCCGGACTTTGTCATGATATTGTTTGTAAGGATGTGCTGACAGATGTATAGAATGTTATTTCAGTTATATTTGTTTGGTAGATATTTGTTGACTTATTAAATGTTTGTTGATTGTCCATATTGTAGCTTGTGAAGTTCGGAATACATCCTGTTTCTGAATGCATAATTGTCCAATTTTTTTCTGGATTTAGACTGAAATAAACAATTACAAGGAATGCTTCTTAATGGTAGACCATGATTAACATAAATTGGCCTTTTGATGGAGTTTACTGGTTGAAACATAATACAATGGAAACGTGCATAAATTTTGTCATAATGAAAAACCAATGCATATACATTCAAATTTCTGTGATTTTAGACATTTCAGTGCTAGTGTGTGTAGTTTGAATGTCAGAATTTTATCTCTCCTCAAGAGAAAGTATTGCTGTAACTGACATTTTGTGTCATTACTTTGGCTTTATGAAAGAATTCTCTGCCTTCACTATATGCAGAGCATTATGTTATATTTCTTTACAGTTACATATTTTGCATGTTAATGTATAGAAATTTTAAACATTAAGATTTTACCGTAATGGAAAGACCTTTATCATAACAAAGTTGTATCTGTGATGATTTTGTAAAGCCAAGAGAAAAATAGTATCTTGCTGATGATTGTGTATGTCTATAATTTTTTAAAGGAATATCTTGAATTTAATTCTGAGCAAATCGTAAAAGAAAACTTTCCCAGTTTCAGAATAACTTTATTTTGAGTTACTGAACAACATTGGCCCATGTCAGTATTTATTTTTTTGGAACAAGATGTTCTTGTACATTCAGAATTATCCCTTGTAATTAAACACTAATTATTTAATCCTTTCTTCACTTCTCTATTTATTCATACTCTTATTTCAAGTGTATATTACCTTCTGCAGCACATCCTGGCAGACAGTTTTAATATGCATGTTTTAAAGTTAAGTATTAGTTGGAAACATCATTCTGTTCCCAGACATTATAATGTATGGGCAGAGAATTATGGACCAGATAGTTTTATTTGTGAGTTATTGAATTGACATGCAACCAGCTGCTTTGTCTATATCTCAAGTAGGATACAAGGCTGATATATGGTTGTTACTTTGGAAGTGGGGAGGAAATTGTTGTAGCATATTTTAAGGTACTCTCCCAACAGTTGGTTGAAAAACTGGGAAAGTAACACCTATTGGGGTAGTGAATGCCTCAGCCAATATTTGACCAGGAACCTCCATGAAAATCAAGCTCATAATTTTAGTACTGACCTACTTCATAATATGTAAAAATATAGGATTTGGATCTAGATTTTTCTTTAATTACATTAAACTTTTCTTACCTTTACAAGTATACAGAACTTACATCAACAATTACATGCATTTTCTGTTTGTTTCCATTAACTTCAAAAACAGCAGACTTTGGTATTAAAACTAAAATTCTTCCTGTCATACTTAAATCATTTTATGTTCTTATAGAGAAGGCAGTTCACAATCTATGATACCTGGTCATGTCTACTCTTGATACTAATATTGTGAACTTTTTTTTCAAATTATATTTTTACTGGATGGTGGTAATCTTCTGAGTTGTTGCACTGTGTATTCTGTCTGTATGCTTATGTTATGGGGAATCATACTGCCTTCATCTTCATAGCTGAAGTCAACAGCGTTAGGAAGTGGATGGTTTATATAGAATTAGGGGAAGGATAAGGCCTATACAAACTTTCCACTTCCTAATGTTCCTCCAAAACATTGGAATACAGCCAAAATACTACAAGGTGCAACAGCCAGGAAGACTTTATTAACACTGCCTTGAAATCTTAAGAACCCTAATATTTTTAGTATTTGATATTCTAGTAGGCATATTTTTAATTTTATTACACATTAGTTGTGGTTATCTGAAATGGTAACTAACTACAGAAGATATTATTTTGAGAGCATAGTTTAAAGTCTGGTAGAAGTTTACCAGTGTTTCAGAGGTACTTGCTGCCTCCATCAGCAAGTGCCTCTGAAATGTCAGTAAACTTCTACCAGACGGCATGGTGCTGCAACCCAGAATACAGCCATTGTCAAATACTGTTTTAATCACAAAACAAACAAAACATATATTTCTGTCTTCAATGCAGCCCCCAAGTTTAAAATAGTTAGTACAAATGTAGGTATTGTCATACTGCACATGAATTCCTACAAGATATTCTTTTTCCAAGCACTGCATATGTTGCACTTTTTGAGTTTTCATTTCTGTGTAGTATTCTAGAACTATTTATTTGTGGTCCCAAAATACAGAATTTCTTTAGCCAACATGTGTTGTTATGGTTATTCTATGTGCCTTTGTACTTACCATCATGTATAAAATTGTGCACAACCAGTCACTGCAGCCTGTTATACTGACAAACGATTACATTGCACCAAGCATATATTCCATTGCTAATATTTTAATGTCTTCACCCACTATTACACTTGTACTTCACTCATTTCATTCTTCCGATACTGAACTAGTATACAATAACTTTGGCTATTTACTTCTTTACATCTAAAATAAAAATACAGATCACATCTGGGAGCTGCCATCTTGTACACTGTCTTTTTAAGGATGGAATTAATGTGAAGCTATGCTGCATGATGTTGCCTGTAGATATCAAGGAAACAAGGTGCTGCAGTTAATTCGCCAACAATTTTGTGATTTTCATGTGAATTACCTTCATGATATGACATTGTAGTAATTTGTTAAATTCTTGTTTTGATTTCTGGTGGAACTAACACCCCTCTGTCCAGGGCAGAATTGTTATAACAAAATTAACTCATTGTATAGAGTACAATGTCCCAAAAAGATATTTACATTTAAGGTTAGTATTCCATGTTATAATATGTGTACATCTTTTTGGGATGGCCTGTAGCAACTTGTATCTTGAAATGTGCAGGTATTTGATGAAAATTATGTAGGTGTATTTAACTTCTTTCTGTTACAAGAAGGGGATTGCACAAAGTTTATGAAAAGACACTGTTTTATCTTCTGTATCAGTCTGTACACATAGTTTATCCCATTTTCTTCTGTTGGACCACCTTCCACCTTTTGTTTCTGAGAATTCTTGATTTTGATAAATTCTAAGAAAAAAGTGGATGTTGTGTTTTAATATTTCTTGATTCAAAAGAATTACTCATGTATGGGGCTTATATGTGATGTTCTGAAGTTTGCTGTTCTGAAATTAATTAATTTAATTGGAACTTCATTGAACCTTTTGAAAATATATAGTTAGCTAAATTGTAATTTATTAAAACAAGCATTTATTGCATATTTCATTCATAGGCCATGTTTATAAAGTGCTGCTACCATAATTTAAAGTAGGTGAATTCTTTCT